TCAAGCAAAGAAATAATAAAGAAGCAGGGACTTGCACATTTGTAGTGAATCTCAACGATCAACTAAGTTGGTTTTCCTTTCTATTTTATGTTAGCGCACTAAACTCACCTCAAAAACTACGTTCGTCTCATTGATGACTTTCAACGAGTATGTGATGAGTCCGACTCTTTTTTGAATGCACTTCTTACCATTCCACTTCACGATGTCAAATCCTGCAAGAAAATAGACGAATTTATTGGAGAATGAAACGATCGATTATCTGATAACTATTATCATCGTTGGACCAGCCATTCGCTGAGGAGGACAATTTTGCTTCTTTTTTTTTAAGGTACTGCTTTGCAGTCGCAAAAGCGATTGCTGAGAATGTTTCCTTAATGAGTTTTTTGACAATAATTTGGCAGTATTACAATTGAAATCTGAAAGATCTCAAACTTACTGCTAAATCCAAACGATCTAGTCTGAAAGGACTGGATGTTAAGGAGACAAAACTTTAAACCTATACCCACACTCTTTCCACATCGATTACTTTTCGGGCGTCGAAAAACAAAACTCCCTGAACAATGGGATATCAAGAATCAACGGCGAATATATATATCTTTTAACTAGTCTATATGAACAGTTCTTATAATTCTTTGATTCTCACTTGTGTTTTGGTCCAAGTCGGTTCTGCCATTGCAGTAAACCTTACACTGCTTCTTTCCGTTTACAATTTGACACATGTCTGTATAAATCTTTATCAGATTTCCTCCACTACACGTTTTCGCTCTCCTATAATACGAAGCAATGGTCCTCTCCAGTCGAGTTTTTCTTGATTGTGCTTTCTCGCATAACAGCACAATTGTAAGTGCAATCTAGAAAGAAATTAAAGACTGTTGGTTAGGGAGCAGATATGTATCTTCAGTGAAAACAAATAATTCATTGTGTATTGGGGAGCACGTTTTTTCGACTGCATGACTTTGACGATTGACTTTAATGATCACCTATTGTTTAGCTTGAGACAGGATTCAGAGACATTTCTTTCATTTAGCTAATTAAGACTATCATTAAGCTTGATCTATTTTTTCATTATGGGGGTTGTTTCCCACCCTGGTGTCGCCCTTTCTGATTACGATGTTTTTTTCACACTATAGCATTAATAATGTAACTGACTGAGGACTGAGTAGGACTGAGCAGAGTCCAATTCAGTCTGTAATCATACACGTGACTATAAATCGGAAACCTGCGAGGTGGAGTGTGATTTTTCAAGCAAGAGTATGATTACAGACCTAATTAGACGACACAAAGTCCTATTAGCAATCAACTATGACCCTTACAAATTCCGTAGGAAAACTTCAGAAAATATTAGCAATCAACTATGACCATTAAAAATTCCGTAGGAAAACTTCAGAAAATATTAGCAATCAACTATGACCTTTACTAATTCCGTAGGAAAACTTCAGAAAATATTAGCAATCAACTATGACCTATACAAATTCCGTAGGAAAACTTCAGAAAATATCTACAATAGAGAAATTGTCTAAAATAAAAAATCTTCCATTTTGGAAATTCCAAGTTTTGTTGGTTAAGTGATTGTTTCGATGGGTATTGAAATCAATTCTGTGATTGGTGGGTGGACTTTCAGCCAACTGTCCGATTACACCTTCCGATTAAAACTCCACAGCATATGTAGGGGAAAAATGCAGCTTAAGCACCGATCACATTTGAGGAAATTGCAATGGTTATGATTAATGGGAAACTGATCCTTTCTTTTTTTTTCTCCTCTTTTCAGTCACTAGAGATCGGTTACGCTTCGCAAAGCGCATATTTGTTTTCATTCTTGACGTCTACTGCATTCATTGTTGTTGTTCTAAACAACCTGTCTCATTGACCTTTTTCCTGTTAGTATGTGGGAGTTTATTAGGAATTTATAACAGCTAGGTGTTTTAATTTTGACCACATTCGTCTAAAATTACTGAATAGTTCTTCAGTAGGCCATTGGGAAATATTTATTATTGTGATAGATATTTTCCCATCTATGTTATCTTCATTCTGAAGATGAAACAATTACGATATGTTGGAATAACCTTCCGCTCAGAGTCAGTTTACTGATTGTAAATGGCGATACAAAGATTATGCATTAACGTATTGAGGTAACATGACCGCGTTATCAACTTAATGAAATCTCTTATTTGTGCTGAGTATCGTTTTTAATTCATGATTATCTTTGAAAGGAATATGAGGTAAAAATGTAGTCAAACAAATCTTTAAAGACTTGCTTGCGCAATATTAAATCATTGTGTGAGTTTACAAACCGTATCAACCAAACACCACATAGACGAAGTTTCTAGAGAACGTGCGGTCCCTGTTGCCAATTTTGTTAAATAGCAGAACTGAAGATTGATTCCAGAGCCAAAAAGCTTCAGTATCCGTCTGCTACAATTATTTTCTGTCAAATCGATCATTAGACAATAGAATACAGATGTTGCACATTTCCGTGAAAATGGAAAAATACTTAGCAAGCCAAACCTCTTAAGCGTGAAACTAAGAAACAATGCATGGTATTGCAAACAATCAGGAAACGTGTCAGTTTACCAGTTTCAAATCATGATCAGTCAAAATCTTGTTAGGAAGCTAAAAACAAGATGTATTTCTTTAGAGGTAAAAACGAAAACGAAAAGATTTCAGATTAAGCGAACATCACGACATGACACGAAACTTATAGCTGACTAATGAGTAGTTGATCATAAACAATAAATGAAGCATTCATTTATAGAGAACGTGCGGTTCCTGATCGCAATTTTATGGAGTAAAAGAATTAAAAGTTGGGCCAAAAGCCAAAAAACTGTAATACCCGATTGACACAAACCATTCTATTCGCCAATCGAATAAGTTCCGTCAGATGATTTTTGGGGGGGATTACGTGGTTTTCAGAGCGATCAGAGAGGGATCCGTCGTCTCTAACAGAGTGTATAGGAGGACTTCAGAAAGTTGATCGCAAATGAAGGGAAAGAGGAGGTTCATAAGAAAACTAGAGAGCTTTAGGGGAATCAGGTCTATTTTATTGTGACACATCATACCCTTTAGCCCCTGAGAGTAACTAGCATCAAATGTCTCCTCAGAATGTTGCTGGTGAGTCAAACATTAAGGTCATAGAAATAAAGGCAATGATCAATATCTGAAGGTGCTCGGTTTACTGTTACTGTTTTACTGTTTTTTTCCAATTTCATGCTTTTTGCCTCCAAAAAAAGAACTTTACTTAATTAACTCATTAAATGTCATAATTTATCACTAATGACAAAAAAATTCTTCAACATGCGTAGGAGCCAATTTTCGCACCGTGAAGGATCACGAAAAAAAAAACTGAGATCATTAGTGATCAGAAGTCTGCATTAGCTGGCCGTAGCCGATTTCGTTCCCCATTTGTAGTCTAAGATGTTAACATGGAACGAAAGTCGCGTTTCTTGCGTGCCAAAATTGCATTAGTTGAGTGTTTCTTGTATTTATAGATTTGCAACTTGATACATTCAACCGCAACAGTGAAGGCTACATATTTGATTAACATTTTCTTTATAAGAGATCATTAGACAACAGGAGGCAGGTGTGGTAGGTTTCCATGATGATGGAAAATACTTAGCAAGCCAAATCTCTTAAGCATGAAACTAAGAAGCAATGCATAGCATTGCAAACAGTCAGGACACGTGTCAGTTACCGACTTTAAATCATGATCAGAAATGGTCAAAATTTTTCTAGAAAGCGCAGAACAAGACGTATCTCTTTAGAGGTAAAAACGATAAAGGAAAGATTTCGGATTAGGCAAATATCATCGAATGACAATAAACCTTCTGCTTGCTAATGCGTAGTTAATCATAAGCAGCAAATGAAGCGTTTATTTGGATTCATGTATAGGATTTAGATGTATTATTGATATCAAAAGGTGACTCTTACGGTTTTCTTAAAAAATTTTACGTAAAAATAAACAAATTGGTATGCTTTTTCATATGAATAAAAGCGGCTTTGTATCTGTGGCATTGCATTTCGAAACAAGCACGTTACTTCGAGAAAACACGATCATACCAACTGTCAAGTGGTAATATCTTGATCTTTAAAGTGAAAGCGGTATCAGCTAGCCTGGTGGAGCACAACGTAACTTGGAAAACATTGAAAACTGACTTGGTTTTGAGGCCGTAGTTCGAGAAATGAAATTCAACGCACTTTTGAATATTTGTAACGGCCTTTAATTAAAACCAAATTGTTTTAAACACGTGAGTATCCGAAAGTCATCGGAAAGATAAAGTTACGCATCACCTGATCAATTTCATTTTTAAAATGACGAAAGGTTAATTATCTTTAGAACGGTTACGATTCGCTAAAACCAGATCAAATAAAAGTGTTAAACTAGATACCTTTAAGTTTTCTTTTTTTCACGACATAGTATCAATTACAAGTCGATGATTTTCATTTTTAAATAGAACATAAAATGAAAGAAGTACTTTTAAAAATTTCCTAAGTAAACTTCTTTAACTTTTGAAACTAGGCTAAGGTTTTTTTTTTCCTTTTGGTACGGAGATGCTCCCTGAACTACAAAAAGGAATTTACCTTACATTTCAGACGCTACTTACTAGAAATGTATGTTTCACGTCCATTATACTCCACTCTATGGAATCTGGGAGAGATGTTACTCGTAAATTCCAAAACTTGGCAATGGAAATTGTTACGTGCAGCATCATTTTATACGATTCCAGGGAAAGATGCCTGGTTCACGAAGTTCCTCTAGTTTGTTGTCATTGCTAAAATATGTTAAAAATTAATGGCTTTTTCCTCAAAGGTGTGCAGAATTTTGAAAAGAAAAAGGAAGGGAGTAATTGGAAACACTTGATCAGATCTCATGCTGCCCAAACCCTCTTTTTACCTGTGGCCACTTCCGGTATACCTTACAGCAGATACAGACTATAACTGATTAATTCATTTGTTTAATATTTTCATAATATTACTTACATTACGTAATACAAAAAATACCGCCACAAAACAAAAATATTAAGAAAACACATACTCACAAAGAATGGCTAATAACATTTTGAATAACAAACTGACTGCCTTATTAAATTAACTGAGCATGTTTTTGAAGTTAATAGTACTAGTTAAACAAAGTCATAGCTAATAGAGATAGCGAAAAACAACAACCATGGGATTCGTGAGAGACTAGCCAGCATTAAAGACGCCCCTTTCATCTATTTCAGTTATGATTGGATTTCAAGTATTGGCTTAATTGAATAATTACTTTATAGTTTATATTCGAAAAATATGTAAAACGCACTTGAAAAGTTATCTTACCAATAATTATTGAAAACTTAAATGTCTACGGTCACCTCAAAAATGCAAGTTTCAATACAAATCTTCACCTACGCAACACCCCTGTAAATACAGTGGGAGGTGAAAAACTGACTCTGTTATCAAACTGTAACAAATGAAAACACTGTTTTAATTGTCAATCCATGATGGCACACGACGTCTAGGATAATTCACATATTATGGTAGTGAAAAAAAGAAAAGCCGAGACCATGACCGGGAGAAAAATTTTAGCCGATCTGCATAAATCAGAAATTCCACAAACGGGCAGCCTGACTTAAGAACCCAAGTATTTAGTTGAACCGCACTGGTTTTGCTCACGAAAGATAGACGGCGAAGAGGAAAGAGAGAGACAAAGAAAGATTTGATAGGAAGAGTAAGTATGCAATGGAAATCTATGAATATACAATTATATATATGTTCAAATATTTTGAAGCTACTATCAGGGAAAAGTATTTTTAATTGAACTAAGTAAGTACGAAGCGAGTATTAGTGAACATTAGTGGCAAGTGGAGATGAAGTAATGACTTAAGACGGCATAAAAATACTTAGCCGTTAAAAATTGACACATTTTAACCGTTGCTTGTAAAAAAGGTTTATTTAAACCATATCGGAAAGAAATCAACCGTTAGCCGTGAAAAGGCCAAAATTTTATCTGTTAGTCGTAAAAATTATGACCCCTTTGACAGCAAATTGTTGTATTTCACTTAAATCAATCGGGTATAACCCGCGGACTCGAACTATCACGGCATCTTTAACCTTATTTTACCCAGAGATGACATGTTGAAGTCTAGATTTTTGAATCAATAAGAACAAATTTTACCTAACTCTTTGAGGGTAAAATCAAGTTCACTTACAAAAATTTATTGTTTTAATTGAATTCTAGTTTCATTCAACAAGTGAAACTATGAGAAGGAGAACATTTTTTTTTTCGTCTCGTCACGACCGTGGGATGAAGTGAAAAGAAAAAATATGTGTAATTTCAATTTGTTAACATTTCAACTAACTTAAAGTAGTAAAATGTTTTATGGATACTAAAAATCTTAATCGCAAACAAAAAAAATGTCCTAACACGTTAAGTGAGATATGTAACGACTGAGTGGGAGTACAGGAAGAAGAAGTATCATGATCTGGGTCCGGGTCATCACATATGGACTTTAGCACAGCGAGATCCGAGAATTATGCCCTAAAGTCAAAAATGGGGATTTGAAAAATCATAAAAAAGAAACAAAAGTTAAAGAATTTACCATGTTGCAATGTTTTATCCATGTCATGCATATGAATATCTTTCCTTGGCGTAGCTTTATAATTATAGTTTGAGCATAAATTTAATTCGATTTTTAAACTTTTCGAGTGCATGCTTCCTTTTTCCTATGCTCTCTGCTTTTCTTTTTTTCCGTTTTAATTTTTTTTCTTTCGTTATCTCTTCCTATGCTCTCTTCGATTCTTTCTTTCCGTTTTACTTTCTTTCTTTCGTTATCATTGAGTTACTGGATATTTTACAGACTTATAGCATCGCGATCCATAGTCACCGCCATAAAGCTGCCTCAGTTTTTATCCTTTTCATCTTCCAAGTCGTGTATGATTATATATACTGGCCGTTTTAAAACCGGCTCCATTCTGTGAAAATTGTCTTTAAACGTGGGAAACACGTTTACTTACCAACGAGTGCCTTCTTATGAATTCTTTAACCATTAAGTCAGGACTGCCCGTTTATTTAATTTCTGGTTACGGTCACGATTTCGACTTACTTAATGTACTCCATTCATTTCACTGCCAAAAAAGCTAATCTATTTTATGTTATATCTCGCATAAAATACAAAACATCTTTTTTTATGAAGTTTTTTTTAAAATAAGTGGTTTTTTTTTTGACGAAAGATGTATTTCATAATGACAGCTATACTCCAGACGTACACATGATGAAACAAATTACGGTCCGGGACAGCAGGGGCCACTATATTGGACAATCTCTAATGTTTGAAGCTAATCAATTTACATGCTATTATCGAGTAAGAAAGAGGTGTTTATAGATTTTTGTTTCTGTTATTTTAATCTAACCTCGTAAATCACCAAAACCAGTATTTCGGGTGTCTTGTGCACATAAAAAAACTAAATGTGTTGTATTGCTTGAAGCAATCCTTTAAGATCACTTGAAGAGTGTCCCTTAGGTCTTTTTTTTAATGACTAACGTTGTCGTACATAATTTTGTTGGCCTGACTCAGAGAAATTAGGCTAAATTTATTTTCATGAACAAAGGGGTAAGTCTTTATCGAGTAAGAACAAAAGCGATTACCTTTCTGTATCAGGGGCACCTAAGGAGCACTTCAGGGACACCTTGAGATAAAGCGTAATCGATATTTGCACGTGACCCTGCCATCATTAGAAAAAATTATAAATAAATAAATATACAAAGTAAAAATCCTATTTCACGCCTAAAAAAAAGGGATATCTTTTTCACTTGCAGGCTGTGTATCGGTACCTTCACTGCCGCGCACACAATCTGCCTTTTAAGGGTATTTGTACGGGAAGGTATGATTGCTTGCAAATGCTATCGCTCTTTTTTTCTTTCAATCTCACACCTGTTGTGCTAAGATGTACTTTGTAGAGCTATTTCGTGCAGCTCGCACAGAACAAGTTCTTCTCTGTCGAAATTTTAACAGTTCTTTTCTGTGCTTAAGTTTAAGAGCGAGATATGCCTTCTGAAATCGATCGTAAAATTCATCCAAAAGCTGGCTCATTTGTGCCCTGATCTCGTCTGGTTTGAGCTGAGGATCACTAGAAGGAGCTGTGGACCAAGACAAAATACAATGTTACTAAACAGAATGACGATTAAAGGAACAAAGGAGACGGACAACCATGCATTTAAAACTTCCATCTTTCAAGATGATCGTGAAAGAAAATTTGATATGTAACTAATTTTCAAAAGTTAAGAGTATACAGCGTCAAGGGATATGTCAACCGGTCATTATTTACCACCTGAGGGGGAGGGGTTTGGAAGATTTTGACTCTGTCACAATAAATTTTACCTGATCCCTCTAAGTCTCTTTAGTATTCATATGATCCACCCTCATTGGGAAGTCAATTTTCTATAGTGGCCCTTTAATGCTATGCTAAGGACGACTGATCATCCATAATGATAATTGTATGATTCGGAGAATAGTTAAACAGCAACACCTTCATTCAAGATGGCAACCCGTGTAAGCACTTGGTTCCAGCATGCAACGCGCAAGGTTAACATGATTGACAAAGGTAGAGATTGGCCTAACCCTGCAATGATGACAGAAAATCCTGCTGAAAGCAACATGCTGCCGATGCAGCAAATATTCTCCCTGAGCCGTCTGAAACTTGACGATATTTGTGAAATTGGTTATATTGGTAATATAAGTAAAAGATACTCTCTAGTTGTTTTTCAGTTCTTTATACTGTAGCTCAAGGGTTAGGGCCTCTTTACCTTTCAGTTGACCATCTTTTTTATTATTAGCATGCTTTACGTTCCTTTTCAGCCATATCTGCATTGCGTGGTAGGCGAGGCCACCTGTAACCACTGTGATCAGACCAAAACTAACCACTTCTAAAGTTTTCTTGTAAAGAAAACTCCTTGGGTCAGAAAATTTTATTGCTTCCATGGTCGGTGTGGCTTCTGTAGAATGATCTAAAGGTTCCTTCAAGAAAAGAAAGCAAAACTTATTCAAAAGATTTCTACAGGGTAAAATCTTAGACGAAAGTACAATCTGTGGAACACCTCCATGGAGAACCATTTTCAATTCAATCAACTGCATTTCTACGTTATGGTATTCCCTACCAATGATATAATGAAGCTAATCTATTCCTTCCCTTGTTCTTTGAATCATTAACTACAAAAATGTTCTTCATTTACCAAACGTTAAATATCTATAAGAAAACAACATGGTCAAAGTCTTAAACACTTTGATTAGTTTTAACTAGTTTCCAAGGCAGAAACTATCTCACCTGGTCTACTTTTGGCTTCCCTAGTCTATTCTCAATAGGCATCATTTTCAAATATTCCTTGAACGCTCCGAGATAGTGCCTTGCTTCTCCAATTAATTTTATTCCATAATAAAACCTGTTTGGAACAATTTTATAAACTCTAAAGTCAGGATCGTCCAAGTCCTTCATAAAAGAGTTCACGAACATGAAGTCCATTAAAGCACCATCCAACGCTTTTGATTTAAGATCAGGTACCAAAGTATTCCTTGTGTAGTAATGCGTGCCTGAAATTTAAACAGGTTTTACTATTAAAATTTGGTAATAGTGTACTTTGATCGTTCGGGTGAGTGTAGTCCCTGGAAGGGATGTTGTCGGTAGTGGTGACTGATGTTTCGACAACCTGAGCGGAAGTCATCATCAGAGTCAAGTGAATAGTTGTTGTCGGTCGAATGTTCAAAGTCCGGTTTGTATAAACTGATTGGTAAGTTTTGCTGTGATGTTATTGGCTGTAAGACTCAAGCGGCGTAGGTCGGTCGTGATTGGTCGGTCTCGATCCATTACTTTCACCCGGACGATCAAACTACTCTATTACATGTTACCCCTGGGCTCAAACCATTTACTGTATTGAAATTCAAAAAATTAAATTCATTTACCTTTGCTTCCATTGATTCGCAGAGCATAACGATGTTCAAGGGAACCATTGATCACGCCGATCTGAAAAATGAAATGGGTTAGAAGTGAATAGTCCGAGCATAATCACATGCATTATGATTCATCAAAATGTGTTCATTGTATGTCACTGAACTCCAGAAATCGCATATCCTGTATACACAAGTATCACGGACAGTCCAGTTCGAAGTTACTTTGGGATAGTCAATAGACACCATAACGCATGTGATTATGCTCGGACTATTAGCAGGATTTCGCTCTGCATGCCTCAAGTGATACTTCTTCTGAGAATTAAAAACCAAGCAAACACCAGCCTTTGTAACCTGCCTACCTAAGTGACCTGCCAGTCTTGGTAATCTGCCAGGCATGACGACCTGCCACTCTTAGTGACCTGCCAGCCCTGGCACCCTGCCCAATTTTTCCATAAATCGAACTGGCATTGAATCGCGGGTTTCACCTATTAATTGTACTTAATATTTCGGATACCAGTCTTCACGAGGTCGCGACTCTTGCGCACTGAGATAACTAATGATCAATTGTCTTTGTGCTTGATGACAAGATAAATGACAATCAATGAAGTAACAAACTGAATTAAATGAAGAAACGAACTAGATTTCCACTTACCGCTTTTCCCTGCTCAGGATTGGTTAACGTATTGATTGTGAAAACCATGAGCAGTGACGATAGAGCTGATACAAATAAAGCGCTAATGACGACACCCACAAGAAAAGTGACAATGCTTATGAGCCTTCCAAGCACTGATACTGGATGACGATCACCATACCTGTGTTATTGACAGAATTTAACACGCTTTTAATGAAGAATGATTGAGTGATTTCATAAGTTAATGGATAAATAGTTCAGTTGAAGACGAGCTAATAAATGAAGCAATGTAATAGCTAGATGCTCGGCCCATTATGTGCTTTTAGCATTTAACCAAACCTCTCAAAGCTTTTTAAAAATATTTCTGCTCTATGAAATTTACTCATCTATATAAATATTGACAGCGTGAATTTAATCCTGCAATGATTTTGTCTATACCATTCATCCAACATGAGATTGAAAATGAACTTTGACAAAAAATACATTGGACATTGAATAAGGTATATTCAGTTTCTTGCAATTTATAAGTAAGGTACTTTTGATGTTGTGAACCCGTCAAATAATATTCATCCTCCCACCCGAGTTGCGACTTATATTCTTCCTAGGTCACCAACAGTTGCTATTGACGAATTTCCTTAAACTAGGAACATGGTAATCATGCTCGAGGGATCCTTCTTTTGAAAATAATGCTGGTTTGTACAAAGAGCAGTGAAAACTGCTCAGTGCACTTTTGTGCCTGTTGTGATTTTAGGGTGACATGACAAATGAAGGGACAACAATAATCTTTAAAGGGAAAATGAATACCTCTTAATTATCAGCTATGATTTCCTCTCACCTACCCGACAGTTGTCATGGAAACAAAAGACCACCAAACTCCTTCCCTCCAGCCTCGCGAAAAACGCGGCGGAAAATGTTTAGGATTCGCGTGCATCTCCTACATAGAGAATAACGTCAATGGGATAAACGGGAGGAATTTCATCTTTAATATTGGAAGTTTCAAGCTAAAATTGACGCTAATTAGAACTTTGTATTTAAAAGGCATCGGCAGCACTTCTGGTAAAATAGGGCTTTTAAATAATAAAATTCGTATTTGAGAAGACCAAATTTACCTAAATTATATTCCTCTGTATGGTTTACTGTAACGATGTGTGAATTTTTGATGTGCCTCTGTAAGCCGGTGATGCGTCACCATTCTGATAATTTAACTTTTAAATTCCGACTAAGTAAAGTTCTTGTCGTTCTGGGAAAGTGCCGATGGTAAGTATTATGTTTCCCCTGAGTCTAACTGCAAATAATGCTGATTAGCGAGTACTGCTCACCTCCGAACAGCCGAAAGGCAAATTTGTGCATCAAAAATTTAATTTACGACCATCTTTTGGTATTTCGACAAAAATAAACTAATTATTTTGGCTTCTTTGTGGTACATACTGAAACAATTATTCACCGCAGTGTCGGTGAATATCTACCACTATATACCTCCACATTGGTGATTAATTGTTAATTATGGCCATGATCATCAATCTCACGACGTAGAAATTATGTATCTTACGTTACATAGTCAAAGTTATTTAAAGTGAAATGGTGCCAGGAAACACATGACTCAGAGAACGTTAGCTGAGATATATAGGTGGTGTAGGTAAATCACTTGTTGACCTCAAGGAAACCAAGAAAGAATTTTCCTCAGAATATCAATACTATGCTGATCAAACAAATTCTCAATACTAATTCTCTTTATTGACACCATGAGAAATTTATGTCAGACAGTAAGGAGAATTAGTTGTGAGATCTTGGGAGAGGAAGGGGCTAAGGCTTCACTCACCACAGTCCAGGTTGCCAACCCAAAAGTGAGATACATGGCAAACATCATGGCAAAAGCAGGCCAGCAACCTAGGACAGAAGACTTAAGAAAAACTGCATACGTGTCAGTACTGGGCTTCCTCATCACGAGTACAAACCCTGGTACCTCCACCAGAGGTAAAAGTCTCCACCCCTCCCCAGAGGTTGGTTCTTGGGGCAATATCTTGATAGGCATATTCAGATGCATAAGTTCATCGGGTGCACTGGTCATATCTTCAAAATTGCCGTTCACTTCATTAAAAATTATTTCTGTTCTTTCATATTGATGACATGTGCCGCAAACATGATGTATCATTTCATAAACCAATTCAGGAAAAACTCCACCGGGAACTTTCTTGTTTTGTGAGTGTTGCGTAACACAAAGCTGTGGAAGTTTTACCCAGTTCACATATATCTTTTTGGGACATCGGCACGTTTCTAAGAAAAAGAAATGGAAAAAAGTTACACATTTTTCTCGTTTTTCATCGTGTTATCCTCAGATTCACTATCTAAAGCTGACGAGATAAATCATTTGCATTTTTCACTGAGAAATTTACTTGCACATGGTGTATGTGTAAACTATTGTTTATTAAAACGTTTCACCACAAGGATATCATTTCTTCTTCGGTTACCATCCCAAATTTTTATCAGATAGCCCTGGGTGTTTATTGCACCGACCTAAACTCCTTCGCAAAGTACAGGGATATTAGTTTAAAATCATTGTAAGGTGCTTGAGCAAAGTAACGAAAAGAAACTAAATACAGAATTTTATAAAGGGCCAAAACATGAACAGAGCTACGCATGTAAACCAAAAAGGGGGCATAAGTCAAACCTATTTATTACTTGGGTGGGACATAGTTTTCCCTAAGTTTCTAAAGTTTCTGAAGTTTTCCTAAAGGAGAGGAGGATTCGATTAAAGCAATTCTATCTAGAATTACTTTCGACTCTCAATTGAGGAACAACATTGCTGAACATTAGGTTAAAATGTTTCTAACTAACCTATAAGAATTTCTTCGCTGTACGGGCCTGGGCCTATTTCGGTGACAGCTGCAATCTTTAGGCTGTAAGTTGCATATGTTTGAAGTCCTTTAAGTAATGCCTTTGTTGAATATGGCAGAACGAGGAATTCCCCAGTCCATGTTTCGTTTTCTTCATGGATAGTATGTTTTACTTGAAACCTTATAGAATACCCTGTTGGGATCCCCTGCCAATAAGCTGCAGGTAATGATTTCCATGTCGCGTAGAGTCTGGATGGACTGAAGAAATTGATTGCTGCAAGACCTGTTGGAGGGCTGCGGGGGACTGAGAAATTAATTGAAACATTTGGTCAAAGATTATGAAAGAACAGCCATCTGATCACAAACTAGGCACAAACTGGCGATGGACTGAACATAATAGTTTTTCCATTGTGGATGTTAATTTCAACTTTAAAAGCAAGGGTGGACAATCAGACATGGCATCAAAAAGCGGTCTTCTTTGGCAAAAAGAAAATTCAGCTTTGTCAGAGCACACATGCCTAACTAACCATACAATCGGGTGGGGAAGTCTAAAATTATCACCACTTATCAACGTACCACTAGCGTCTTTGTTTGGAAACGTGGCATATCAACTCCGCCAACGCTCCTTTAAATCGTAATGATGGCGGTTCACTACCTGACGTCTATTTACACCTCGTCAGAAAAAAGGTGGCTAATTAGTGAGCATATAAAAGGCACTCTTATTGAAGCGATTAGATCAGCTTTGATGAAGGCACTAGACAGGAGTGTCGAAACGTTGGGTCTATTAATTGTAACTTCTCGATTACATTCATTAAATCTTTAAACCAGAGTAGCATCAAACCATGTCCAATGGTGAAATGTTTGCACAACAGTCTTACAGCAGTTTCAGTGGCGCCCAAGCTCACAGCTGAAACTTTAATAAGCGTGACAGTACACGAACCTTTCTACCTACCACTCTGTTGCGTTTTCCCAAGAGCACAAGTTGATGGCTTTCCCGCCCCTTCGTGAGTTACAATTTGAACTCTGACGCAGTATTTCGTAAAAGGCAAAAGACCTCGTAGTTCCACAAATTTGATCAATGGATTCACCGTGATATTTTGAGCTGTTTCATTCTCTGAGGTGTTGTATATTATTTGAATCTTCCTTAGTTCGCGAGGCCAGAGCCTCTGCCATTTAGTAGTCCAATTGACAAGGAGAGATGAGGAACTGATGCCATTAACTTGGATCTTACTGCCAGGCACTATGAATAGAAATAAAGAAGTTTTTGAGAAACTATTTGAGACTGTACAATATCTAATTTTTCAATCAACTTCTGCACTATAGTTAAGGGCATCGTTCACCTGTCTTCTGACGAGGGTAAAATGGAAGAGGGTATTTCTGCATATAGTCAGTAGTCCAGGGGAGTTACTCCAATGATAACTTCGGTACATCGCGCGTCCGAACTTTTTGTCAGGAGACAGCCAGGGGAGCACCTCAAGTTATTATTTATTTCGCTCAAAACGTACCTGAACACGGTTTAATAGGTTGGCACACCCTCATTTCAGCGCAGTTTTGGTACCTGCACTCACGTGTGCGTGTCTGAGTTCCTTCACCACAGGTCTTGCTACATTTCGACCAAGCACTCCAGATTGCTGAAAGAAAAGATGTCAGAGGTTGAAGAAATTTGGAACAGATGCAAGAATTGGACTAACGTAGCTTATTGTGAGGCATTTTTCTATTTTATTTTCAGATTTTAATCTTGTTAAATATCTCTAGTTACTTTATCCACTACACGCAATAAATATACTGACAGTCTCTATTTCCTTGCGTGGTTAGTTTCTCAAAATTACGGTTCCGGGACACAGGATTTTTTTGGTCTGTGCAAATGTTTCGTTGATCCAGTAGTGAGCTGGTTTGCAGAAAATTGCAAAAGTTGTTTTTAATTTCCCTGCTACTAGATTGGTTTCCTGTAAACAAGCAATTAATAGTTGTATTTTAGTAAAGCTTCCTCTCTGACTGGAAAAAAAAGATGCAATTTAAAGCAAAAAATGGTACGATTCGTGAATAAATCACCCCAAAATGGATGAATTACAAGTGGAAATCAAACGGCTGTTTCCTTTTTCTTAAACGTTGCAATTGAGTGGAAGTTCAAATAATCGGTGACTTATCATACATGATATATATTTGCTTGCGTCTCATTTTTCACGCTCTATTTATATGTAAAAATAGCGACACTGCCCCCTCCTCCCTAACAATTTTGCTTCATCCTATCACTCACACTCTATCGTCTTACAAGGAGAAGCTTTCACCAGCCTTACTTCTCCTTTACGAGATCCATCAACGAAATCCTGCCACTGAAACACTCTGTCATTTGAAGCTTCATCTATTATACACTTTTGCGACATCTTTCTCACGTGTTCAGAAGAAAGTGTTACATTCCATATGTTAAAGTTTGAAAGCATCCCTTGAAAAGACTGGGAGCGCGAGAGCCCGCCCCCAAGTGAATCTTGTTCTTGACCCAGCATCAAGAAGCCACCAGGTGTTATCACGTGGCCTTTCCCGAGATTTTTACCCTGATCCGTCATATTCCCATCGATGTAGAATTTCCATGATCCTGAATTTCCTTGCCAGGAAACACAGATGTGGTGCCAGAGGCCATCGTTGGCGGATACAGATATTCTTCTACAAATTTGGAAATAAGGGAGCAGTCATCATTTATCACGTGGGATAGGGTGGGGAGGGTTGGAGGATTTTGGTTCTGTCACAATAAAGTTTCCCTGAGCCCTCATAAGGCTCTCTTACATTCTTGAGACCCCCCTCCCCCTGTTGGTAGTTAAATGGCAGTCAATTTTCCATAGTCCTTCCTTTGTACTCTATTAATGATGACTGATCCTCTCTCCGTTCTCCCTGAAAACGAAGTGACCCCCGCAAACTCCTCCACTCCCCGTGGACAAATAATGGCTTGTCTCTAACCGAAAAAAATGACTGTCAACAACAATATAAACAATGACATTATTGCTAAAGGAAATTCTATGTAAGAAGAAAGCTGCACCTATTTTCCAGACCTATTTCATCGCGGTCACAAGGGTTATAGACCCCCTGCCTGAAGCTTACAGCTATCTTATAATGCGCCATGTGAATTAAACAAAGCCTTATGTTATATGTTATAACGTGAATCATCGTAAGACAGAAAGATATACAAGGGAAAAAACCAGCGGTTTCAGTAAAAGCCATTTGCCAGTGGACTCCCACCACCTGGCTGTAAAACCTCATACCGCCGTCTGTTCAGGCTCTCATACTTGGGATTAACGTTACGGCCCCTTTTCCGGGCACGGCCGCCTAAAAAACACCCTCGACAGCCGATTATGAAAAGAAGTTATTGAAACCCCTGAATAGGTCCTAAAAGCTCCCCTGTTTCTTTTACAGAATTTCAAGAGCCTTTTCACAAGACGTCAAGGTGGATATCTTTATCTACACCTAAAAGATGAATGAGTCTAAAACAACGAATTAAAAAATCTTTAAAGCAAATGAATTTTGAACTGCTAACACATTTGTGAAAACGTCAGGTTAGTCAGTACAAAACCGTCCATCTATTTTGTCTGCAATTTCAACCAAGCGATGCCCTTACTCTTCAGAGGTTTTTCTTTCTAATTCATCTTAAAATTAATTATGAATACCTGAATATAGTTTAGAATTTCAAAAATGCATTTACAGGAGTATTGCTGCGGCTGAAGAAGGAGAAGAAAGTTACAACTTGTAATAAAATTAATGATTTAGTTTCACATCTTTCACGTAAGAATTGCCACCATAATTTTGCGAGTATCCACTCGAGTAGTTAAAATAGGGACAGTTTTTCTTCGACGAGCGGTTGGCTAAACAAAGGCCCGAAACAGTATGGCTTTAACTCTTCAAAAAGAAGACGATAAAGCTTAAAACCATTTTGCAATTTGTGACAAGGAGCGTTTCCGAATTGTGTTATAACTCTATGTAGCCACCGGGTTGGTGTGCTGAGCCGACCATGCACATAAGATTTAAACTCTTGACTAGTTTAGCATCTTTTTTTCAATGAATTTACGAAGCCATTTACCTGGGAAATGCTCTAATTGTCAGCAGGAACCCATTTCTGTCGTAGTCAATGACCAGCTCATTGTACTCTTGTGGCACAGCATAGCTGAGAGGAGTTCCTTGTGAATCGCTGGACTTCATCGAGAAACACACGGTGAATTTCGTCAAACTTGGCATTCCCGTTACGCTGATAAAATCACTGACTCCTTTCTTTGGAAAATATAAAGCCCTATCTAAAATAAAAGGAAAAAAAAAATGCGTCGAGAATCGGTTAACTGTTACATTCTAAATAGGAATATTTTTTTCGTAGGAAAAGAACTGAAAAAATGATAACTTCAATTTGTCCTGTAATTGTGATTGGGATCCCCTTCCCTCCCCCCCTCCTCTAAATTCGTCCTTTACTGGGTATGGTTAGGCAGCCTGTCGTGTGATCTAAAAGTTCAGACTAGAGTAAAAGGTCATGGATATGAAAACTGTGGCCCGTGACTCCTTTCAAGTTGTTGTTTATCGTGTTGTTTATCGTGTTGCTGCTGTTACTTCTTTTTTTTTTTTTTCTAAATTAAGTTTTTTCGTCTTCAACATGGACTTCGGAAAACAATGAGAAAACTGGGCCGTTATTTGATAAATTCAAAAATTCTGGCATGTTTACCTTTGTATCCTCCAAAGCCAAGCATAACTATGCGTTAATTCTCTATTAAGATCCAATCAAAGCTTCAGACTTTCTTAACTAACACCGGTTTCATTGAAGCTGACTTAGATGTAATTTAAAGATCACTGGTCCTCGAAGACTAGAGAATGGTCGGATTGTTTTTGGGAAGTTTACGGCATTTACGTTTAACCATATGTATGGCAATGGAAAAATAGTAAAAGAACAGTAAGAATATGGAGATAGAAATAACTTAGGGGTAATTTAACAGAAAAGGAAATATTTGCCTGTAGTGATTCTTCTATAGTTGAAGCTGAAAAAGTGCCATGAAAGAGTGGCAACAGAAACAGGTTTTCCTTGCATCCTTACTATCCAAGAAAGTGATTGGCCAAAAAGGAGAAGTTTTCTGATTATCTATATCTATAATCCTCTCATCTGAGCTTCTCCTAATAACTGGCGATTTCAACATCCATGTCAACGTTGTTAGGGACCCCCACAGATTGAAACTTCTTGATTTACTGGAGATAATGAGTTTACAACAGGATGTTTTAACCTAATCGTAACACGACATTTCGAAGACTTGGTTAGGGAAACTCCTATATCAGACTATCACATTTCCGATCACTGGTCTGTTATACGCCGGTTAAACCTTGACAAGCCTAGGATAACAAAGAAAACAGTGACCTTTAGGAGCTTTAAAGGCGTGAATTTTGATGTGCTATCTGATGAAATTTCATCGTCGGACTTATGTACAAATACCCCGGACACAATGAATGATCTTGTGTCGTGCTATAATTCCACTCTTGCGTCTGCCCTGGACCGGTATGCACCACTCATTACAAAGACCATCCCAGCTAGGCATCTAGTACCTTGATTCAACGATGATATTAAGGAGGCTAGAAGACAGAGACGCAGGGCGAAGAGGAGATGGCGGCGCATTGATTTGGAGGTAGATTTCCTTGCATACAAAGCTATTAATAACAACACTAACAATCCGATGAATGAAGCACGTAAATTTTTTTTCAAAGATTTTGTAAAAGAAAACAGCAATGATCAGAGGAAACTGTTCTTGGCCACTGAGAGACTGCTTGGGAGAGAGAACGTGGTGGAGTATCCTCAATTTGACGACAAGATTGCTTGATTTAGCAACTTCTTTGTTTAAAAGATTGACACCATACAGAGCAAACTCGACATGCTTTCGTTCCCTCCTCTCCGCACTGCTAACGAGTGCGTTCGTGATGTACCGTCCATTGAGAAGTTTGACATACTCAGCCAATCTGACGTCCGAAAACTTATTGAGTCCACCCCCAAAAAGTCATGTTTACTAGATCTTATACCTACAACACTTGTTATCGGCTGCATCGATGTTTTGTTACCATGATAACTAAGATTATAAACTTATCGCTACAGACAGGTGAATTTGCTGTTCGAAGGAAATGTACGCTAGTCCTTCCTTTGCTTAAGAAACTTGGACTTGAAATTATTGCTGAAGAACTATCGCCCCGTAAGTAATTTGCAGTATATTTCTAAGCTTATAGAGAAGGCCGTTTTCCAACAAACGCATAGTCACATGACTATTAACTCATTATATCGTACCGCCAACACCACAGTACGGAAACAGCCTTTTTCCTAACATGAACTCTCAGCAAGTCACACTTAAGTTGTTGCTTGTTCGCAGCGCAGCTTTTGACACTGTCAATCACGACATTCTGTTGGAGAGACTTGACAAGGACATTGGCATGCGCGGTGTTACGCTCGACTGGTTTCAGAGAAAGAGTTTGAGAACGATATTTGACATTTCAATTAGTATGGATACTCATGTAAATCATGTTTGTAAGACTGCTTTTTACCATATTCACAATAGTTGTAGTTCTGTTTATTCCCTTAGATCGAATTCTTCATTAGTTTTGGACCGTCTCAAGGGGCGCATGCTATCTACATTAGGAGCTCGTTCATTTTATGCTTCTGCCTCCATACTGAGGAACAGCCTTCCCGCAAATATTCGGGAAATAACATCACTCAGCATTTTAAGAAAAAACTTGAGACACATCTTTTTAATTTAGCTTACAACGAGTAACTTTTCTTAGGGGTGGTCAATTGGGTATTTATAGTATTAGGTTTTATAGATATTTCTTATAATTCATTATAGTTACTGTATTTTTATATATATTTTTTAATTCATGTTAAGCGCTTTTGATCATTTTAATGTTAAAAGGCACTATATTAAGTTTTAAGAATTAACTAATTAATTAAGGGGGAGGGGTGCCATACAAGGAGGCGCTTGTTTGACACTATAGCCTAGGTGGTGGACTTTTACTTGTGATGCGGGGGGGGGGGGGTAGGGGGGGGGCGTTTATCAAAGCGACGGCGCTCATTTGAGAAAATATGACGTGAGTTACCTGTAGGCGTGATTCATAACCAATGTTATAATAAAGTTCGGATATAACGAGCGCTGTCATTGGTTGAAAGAGCGTGCTCTATGAGAGTATAGAGCATAGAGCTGAGCTAAAGCTGTCACGCCATCTGCCAATTGTACTATGTTCGACCTTTTCCGGGACTTCTTTTCAGCTTTTTTCCGATAATTGAAAGTGAAATTTCGGAACTGAGGCGGCAAGTAGCGGCAGAAGAACCAAACAAAGGTTTGTAAACATACCAGGTGCCGTAATTTACGTTATTAAAACGTAAGCAGATACGAAAATCCTCAAAGGAAAAACAAAATAGACATTCCGAGTTTTAAAGATTTTCACGCTCAGTTAGATTGCAAGCTTACGTAGGGTAATAAAAATCAAACACAGCTAACACTCGTATAGTATATAAAGTTCAGTGTTCAAAAACAAAACAGAACAAAACAGAAATGATGAAAAATATAACCAAACTGGCATAATTGTTAAAAATGATACTAATCATGACGGTGTCTGAGCGAATATGATCATGCTGAAGTTCATCGCGGCTCGCTCATCATGGCGATCTCCGGTCATCACAGTAAAGCAAGCCTCAGAAACTACATCAGCCGCCCTTCGAGTGAAAAAATAAGAGCTTGCTCTGATATCCTTTCCGATACGTTGAGTGGAAAGTCAATTCAGTCACTGCAGCCGAGTTTTGCGGCGCTGTCACCCCGAGCGATCTTCATGTTCCGGTGAATTCGGCTGTCGTTCATTCAACAAACATTCGCCTTGAACAGTTTGTTTTCTACCTTGTCATGTGAAAAAACTCACGTGTTTTTATGAGCCATAATTCGGCTGAAGTTCACTGAACATTTCACTTCAAGATTCTGTATTAGAGGCTTAAAAACTTCAAGCAAAGTGATAAATTCGACTTACCGAACTATTTTAGTTTGTAAACTATCGTAGAATATGAACTTTGAAGGTTTGACACTTTTGACAGCTTTAGTCTTGTACAGCCAATCAGATTATTTGAACCATTCTAACAGGGATTCTGATTGGCTTATTGTAGCGTGCTTTATGAGAGTATAGAGCATGCTGACGACACTGTTGTTCGCTTTGGAAATTAAGTTTGTTTTGAAAATTGAAAGTAATGCTTGGGTAATTTAACGGATTCTTTATTATAAAACAAATAGAGAAGCCTTGACTGTGCTCTGTTCTGTTGTAAAGCACTTAGGAAGCGGCTAGAGCACGAAAGAATTGTAGGGAGAAACACGAGACGTAGTCGAGTGTTTCTTCCCACTTCTTGAGTGCTTTATAACAGAACAGAGCACAGTCAAGGCTTCTCTATTTGTTAAATAATCTCTTGGGCTTCATCATGATGTAAGGAACATCCGTAATTGAACTGGTGAGGATGGCAGCGTCATTTGTTCTAAATAGTTTTTGAATGAATTATTAATGTAGTTCTTTGTTGCTGTGGGAGAGCGCACGAAGTTTGGCGGGAAAAAATGGAAGGATCGATAAAATTCCTCTTTAAATTGATGGAAATAATGTAAAAATTAGTGATAGTGCACAGTAAGCTGCAGATATTAACATTTTTTCAGAGCGGTAAAGGTTTCCGCGACGCCCTAGATTATTTGCATATATTGGTGATTTACAGCACGATTCATTTAATAAAACATTTTATCCCGTGCAGGTGGAAGTTACATTCTCAATGTGGACCTGCCATCCTCGACATAAATATTTATTTTACTAAAGTTACTCTCTCTTCACGTGAACAATATGTTGAATATGTTAAAACCGATTCTTTTAGCCACACAGTGTGATATATTCATTTTAACTGCACGCCTAATCATTAACATGAAATTAAAAAGACTGAAAATGTTCTTAAAAATTTGAACAACGGACGGACTGTTTTTTTTATCAATGACAGCCCGGTTTGGCTTGTAGAAAAAACCGATGCCAAAATTCAACCCAAAGAACTCGAATCATCAACAAGGAATAGACCAGCTTTTTGTAATTATTCTTTATAACTATTCTTTACAGGATCATAAATTACATACTTAACACGCGAATTTCCAGAGCCTTCTTCAGAATTGATAGGCAAAATGGTACAGTGCCAAATAATACTCCTAAGTCTTCTATCTACTCACCCTCAAAAGGATAACGTGATGAATATGCTGCTGTTACGTTTGATCCGTTGGCACAGGTGAAAGTGTGTAAAACCTATTTTATCCAATAGGAAAGTAATACAGCGTAATAGTGAACTTAAAAAATTAGCATCAGAGTTTCAAAATATTTTACCCCAGTAAACATGAATTCACTTACCGCACAAAAGTACAGAAGCAGTTTTTGTACCATTCTTTCTTCAGTGTTGTTTCCCTTCCGTCTGTATTCACCGATCTCCTTACGATACAAATTCTCAGAGAAGTGCTCACAGTGAATTACCAGACGTATAAGATTTTGTTGTGCTTTCGGTAGGAAGTGGTTTGGAAATGCGTTGCAATTTGGTGAGGAATTGTCAATCTTGACGTTACCGCAGAAGTCCTGGCAAGCGTAACGTGCTTAACGGGAAAACACACTTTCTGGGCAAGAAAGGACGCGAACAAAATTGTGCCCTCTCGCTGTTATCTTCTAGAGGGTGACAAATTTGTAAAACAAGGTGGTCACGTTCAAATATTTTTCTTTCATTGTAGTCTTATGAAAATTCATTAGTAAACATAGTTCCACAATTAGCGCTTGGTCACCCGAAAGTCTTCACAGAAGCATTTTTTTAATTGTTTTTTTTGAATAATTATTAGAATTCGGTTGATAACATAGTTTTTCTTCCATTTTTGCTGACCTCAGCGGATAATACATCGTACTCTCTGACTTATCGGTAAAGGGTTCGAATTTGGTTCATAAAATTTCATGACCTGTTCGCGGGTTACCGATTCTTGTTTTTCATTAGCTTGTTGTCAATGTTCGAATTTTAAGGACGACTCACTGGGAAATGACAATTTGTTCTACTCGTGAAGTCAACGTCCCGTAGTGTTTGCATCAGCTTCGTGATCAAACAAAATAAATGAAAATTAAGGTGGAACTATTAGGTAAAGTGCGAAGGCGTGATAGGAAATTAATTATTTTCTAGAACAATAATCATGCTGCTTAGTAACCGTTCCTCCCTACGAGCCAAATGAAAGAAAAGTTTAAGAGAAAGAATAAGTCTTTGTTTATTTTATTGTTAGCTATCCCTACTGTTTTTAACGCAGACGCTTCGCTGCGGTGATGAAGCAAATTACAGAATCTTCCATCTGCCCTTGAAGCACAGTCTACTGTCCGCTTCAAACATAGACCTCTTATGGTCACAAATATATTGCGTGGCTCAGGTTTTTTCCTTCTTTCACACATTTTCGTCGGCGTTGGCGGCAACTCAACCATGAACACGATAATGAATGAATGAGAATGGTATGGGATTATACGGAAACTTCCGATGCTACACTGAGCAGTTTAAAAATTGGCCATGCAATTTTCTAACAAATGGATAAATTTTCTTGAGTTAGTATTGAGGGTTGCACATGTAAAAGTTAGGCCCAGTTGAACGATACAATGCAATATGGAAAAAATGTCAGCGTTTGACCACAAAATAGGCCTGAAATTCAACTTTTAACGTTAACAAAGCTAAAACCTTCGAAACCCTTCGAAAAACGCAGTGCACGTGACACGTGAACAAACAGCGGTGGTACACATCATGTGACTTTAAGGACGCTGGGAGGATTTCCGAAGGGTGTAGGGCTACGAAGTTGATGATTATAATTGCTTTCAGTAACGACTGCTGTGATCTGACGGAGGTCACTGATTGATAAAAGGGCTTCGTCTCGATATCAGGTCGCCACTGTAAGGCCACACTCTTTTGTAGACACCCTTCCTTTTGCTTTTATCTCCCTGCACTCTCGTCTGTTATCGTGGTAGTTAAAATGCCTCCGGTGTATTCTTAACTAGCCGAGGGAGGTGAAATAATCTCTGCGCAACCTTTTTTATTCCAGGAGGAAACCTTTGATCATTTCGCCCCTCACACATTCAGTTCTCCAGGGAACTTGTTCGACTTTGAAAAAACATTTAATTATGTTAAATACAGGAAATTCATTGGTCAAATGACGACTTCTTCACAGAGAAGCGACAAACAAATACTAATCATAATTAAAAGATCCTAGAGTTACAAATACACCATACGATCATGTTTCAATAAAATTGCGGCTACCTCAACAAAGAACAGTCACGATGCTGGAATAACTTGAATGCCTTTTGCTAGGTCTTTACTAATCATGCTCTCTTATAGGCGCCAGTTGAATGATACAATTTAGAAATGAAAATTGTATATAGCGTGTCTTGTATCTTAACCCACTTTCTTCTGAAACTTAAAAGTCGTAAACCTTAACTATGTATCGATACGTCAAGAATGAATCATTAACGAACAGAATCACGGGCACTGTTTACGACACTATTGGGTGGATATTTGGCTTTGATTATGAGGCTCAAGAAAATTAACTTCTGAGCTTCCTACTGGACTCCATTGTTTATGAGTTTCCCGTAACTCATTCATTTTAGCGAGGTCTGAACTACAGCCACTCATATTAATTTGGATTTGAAATTTTTCATTTTAACAAGACTTGAGAGAAATCGAAATGTGACACATTGAAAGAAAAAGAGAGAAAATAACTCTGACCGGAAATTGGCTTATAACTAATAATACATTTCAACCGATTCTAAAAAGAAAAATTCCTCACTGATGAGGACATTAATTTTTGCCTTCAAAAATCCATTGATCACACAATATTTTGCCATGGAAGTCGTAATTGAGGCAGGTTCCTCAGTTAATACTGAGTGAGATCGACTGAGGCAGACACACCTTCAACGTTTCTTTAACATTGGTTGCTCTACCACATAATTATTAATCATTTCAAAAAGGTCTAATAAATCAACAGTTTGAAAACGAGGTAAATGAGAAGTATGATCTCTTCCCTTTCGGTGAGTAACATTTTATATTATGATTACTTGTTTTCTTTGTCTATTTTAGTTCTGTGCGAGATAATTGATTAAAAGTAATTGTCCATATTTCAAAAGTAAAGTGAGTTCCTAATCCTCCAAAGAACGGAAAGCTTGTTGCATTTGTTCGTTAAGTTCTGCAAAGTCCGCCTTTATCTTGCTCTCGCCATCACTGCCAGGGTCCTACGAAGAAAGCAATGAACACGAATTTATCACCTTAAAACTATCCATTTCATTATTGCGCGCATTCGAGAGAAAATCCATTATAACATAAGAGCCATTGTGTCTGGCGAATATGGTGATAGATGTGAGCAATAGCCTCTCAAGAGAAAAGAAATAGAAACTAAACAGAATGAATCTGAAAAATCTGTAAAATGAGTAATCAAAATAAAACAATCCATTTCCATACGTCAGACTGACCTTAAACTTCATACTTGACAACTGGTAAATAATCTGTCCCATATTCTCTTTAATGACTGCCCATGTAATCTTGTTATCGGACTGAGCGGTGGCCTCCACGGAGTGCCGTGCCGCATCATAAAATGCTACAATGTTGGAGAGCATACCAACAGTCTTGTAAAATGGACAGTAACGATCGTAAGATGAGTAACCATTCTGTTGTAAAAAGTCATCTTTGATGAGCTTGGCTACTTCCAGAGTGATCTTATCTGCCTCGGCTAGTGAACCCTGAAAAACAGGGAAGCAAAAAACCAAAATATAAAAAAGTATCTAAGAATCATAGATTACTTGTGCTCAGATTCCTTCACATGGAACAAACATCCAACTTATATTTTCCTTGTAAAGAATAAGAACGATGACAAACACCTCTTTTTATTTCCAATCAAAACAGTGGAATTATTACGAACCTTTCCTACAAGCTGTACAATCTCTGATAAGTCTTCCTCTTCTTGCAGAATTTCTTTGACCTGACGAGAAAAATAACAATCAAGCGCCAGATACTTCAACTTGTAGTTAATAGGAAACCTTACTTTTTAAGGAGAGATCTGGGAATGACTGCCTTCATTTTTTTTTTTTTTTTGCATTAAGCAGTCACCTTCGGGGAATGGCGCCGTGACCGCTAAATACATGTGCCACATAATAGGGACATTGTAAAGAAAGGGTAAATCTTTTAAAAAAAACATGACCACTTATTAAACAAAAACTCGCTCAAAAATACTATCAACACTGATTTCGGAGGATGAAGATGGATTAAATTTTTCTTAAAAGATTATTTTTAATTTTGTTTGAGTGGTCCCACTGTAAGTGAACATTAAATACATGTGGAGGACGGTACAAGAAGGCTGTTGGGACTTAGTTAAGGGGAACCACGACCGCTTAATAGAAGTGAAAGTTAAAATAAAAGTACTTAAAAAACTGACCGCTTAATACAGTGTGACCACTTAATAATGTGCCGCTCTTAACAGGCTCGACTGTAATTTCCAGTTACGCGCTTTAGCTCCGTTGTATGCCTCGAATTTGTCGTGAAATTTAAAATTTTAATTCCAAAAAACTGACTGGAAATTCTCCCTTTTGGCTGACATGCATTTCCTACAAATTAGGTGTGAGAACTTGGATTTGTATTAATACAAAATCTAGATGAATAGTATTTCTATTCTCGAAGCCTGTTAACTGAATAATGTAATGATATTCTAAGGAGAAGATATATGTCAATCTCCTCTCGTAAACAAAATTTCTCCTACGTTGAAGGTGTGATAATTACTTAGCGACTAATAGCGGAGCTTGTAGCGCGCAGCGAAGCCCCATGTTTACATTAAATGGTAATATACCATTATGACCTGATAATGGCGGAAAAAGAATACTTTACCTTTGTTCTAAGCGCCACGAACTCGGGGTAATTTTTCTCGTAGAAATCATCCAAAGCTCTCATGTATTTACTGTGACTGATCAGCCAGTTGATGGATGGAAAATGCTTCCTTTGAGCAAGCTTCTTGTCCAAACCCCAAAACACCTAAAGCAAAAACAAAATATGATATTTTCTTTAACGTCTATACCCTACTTAATTGTGTGAGAATAAATGGCCAGAGAAATTGTTAGCACAGAATCGTCAAAAAAACTCTGCAATATCCGTTCCGTTTTGGATTCCTTTCAAGCATCTGCATAAAAAAAATCAATTAACTAAATCCCATAAATGTTTCATTCTCAAGGTTATTCCTTAAAAGTTATTTCTAGTGCGTCCCCAGGTTTTAAAATCCTCTTTCAAAATGTATCAAAGTTATCTCATTTTCTGCTCTTAGTGATTCATTCCTTCTCAAATACCTGAACAATACCCAGTGTAGCAGAAGTGACAGGATCTGAGAAATCTCCACCGGGAGGGGATACTGCACCAACAATCGTGACACTACCCTCCCTCTGTGGGTTACCCAGGCATTGAACACGGCCTGCTCGCTCGTAGAACGAAGCCAGTCGGGCTCCGAGATAAGCTGGGTAGCCACTATCTGTAATAGAAAAATATACGCGTCAATTTTCGTGGTATTGAATTATCAATTTTTAAGGCCATAAATGATTGAATCGAGTTAAAGGAGAAACTGAAAAGTACTTCTGTGTTGTGTACTTCTATCAATCTTGCCGTCTGTACGCGGCTTGTGCATCTTTTAAAATCTTTGTCAAAATTTTGTCATTGATTAGTTTTTGGTTTCCTTGCGTAATTGCTCGTCACCATTGAGGTTTATAACTGCTTCGATCTTTTTCCTATCCTGAAATCTCATTATTTTAACGTTAACTCAATTCTGAGGTAGTCATCTACCTCGTAAAATACATATACATTATTGACTAAGCGTTAGATCAAGATGGCTGGATATTGGCCGAGTTCTTTTTTCTTTTTCAGCGTTTCTTATGGACCGAGACGATCGTGCCTGCTCAGTAAGCCAATCAGAACACAGGATTCGCTTCATCTTGTTCACTGGCGCTACAATCTATATGATAAGATTTCAATAAAGCCTGATATAGGTTCACTTTTTGTAGCTACCGAGATTCAAAAAGTGTTTGGAAACAGTCGTTTGTTTAATTCTAAGAGGAGCTCATAAAACAAAATCTTAGGAGACAAAGAGCCCTTTTCTTATTGACACATTGTCGTGCAGAGCCTTTCAAGGTCGCCTTGCAAGACACTCAATCAGAACAGATCCTGCTAGTATACTTCATCTTATTCAGTAAACAGATCTACCGGTGAAAATACAGTCATATACCTGCAGGCATTTCAGCCAATCGACCAGATATCTCACGAAGAGCCTCAGCCCAACGAGATGTGGAGTCCGCCATCATACTCACGTTATAACCCATGTCACGGAAATATTCCGACAGCGTAATACCTGTGTGACAGGAAATACCGGTCAAACTCGTATTTGGAGAAGAAATACAGGTCAAACTGGTATTTGGACCGGAAATACTAGTCAAACTAGTATTTAAAGGGGAAATACAAGTCAAACGAATATTTGGACGTGGAAAAAAGCTGAAAGATACAGACTAAATCAGCACCATGTAGGCTCACGCGAGGAACAGACGGAAATAATCAAATGCTTGCAATCCCTCAATGTACCGTTTGGAAAATGGAGCGAAATTAAAAGAGGGTAATTTAGAAATTACAGAGGTTGGTTTAGGGAGTGTCCGCTTATTGTAACAAATACCTTACCCGTGTAAATAGAAGCTTCTCTGGCAGCTACAGGCATGTTTGATGTATTGGCCACAAGGGCTGTGCGCTTCATGATGGACTCAGTTACTCCGCCGATCTCAACAGTGAGCTGCAGAAAAAAATCGATTCGTCTTCAATCTATTCAGCATGATAACAAACAAAATCTAAGAGAGGGCTTCATAATTTTGTCATTGACTGCGGTTTATACTTGGGAGTACACTGATTTTCTGCAGTTTCGTTTGTTTTGTTTTTCTCTTTCTTTTTTGTCACAAGTTGACAAAAGTACTCCACAAACGTGGCCAAACACGTACAATTCGAAAATCAATGACCACTTGATCAATTTCAGGAATACTGACAAGCCACTGAAATTGATATGTCAAAGATGCAGTTACCATACTTCTTGATTAACTGGGTTAAAATAATAAATCCACAGACCCTCCTAAAGGAAACCTGAACAAGATGAACAGCCCCTGATCAATTACAATGAAACCAAGGCAATTAACCCTTTTACTCCAACTATCTGGATGAAAATGCTCCTTACTGTGTCCCATACATTTCTCATAAAGTTTGTTCTGAGAATTTGAAGTTTGATTAAATGAAAACCCCCTAATTTATACTTTTGCTGTTCTCATCAACTTGCCTGCATTATATTGTATTGATACTGTAAGGAGAAAAAATTTCTTCGTCACGCATGAGAGTGAAAGGGTCAGATACCAATCATTACCCACAGTGAATAAATAAACAAAAAAATAAATAAAAAACCTATTGACTCTTTAGACCCAAACATCAGTATGCATATTCTCCTTACTGTCCTCTATATATTTTCTAATGTACTGAAAAGGAGAATTTGTTTCACAATCAAGAGCTTCCTTAGTTTGTGATCATTTCCTTTATTCTCTTGACCTTAACCTGTTATTTTGGGGAGACATGGTAAGGAGAAGTTAGATGCTTGTCACTCTTGGGGGTCAAAGGATTCATGTGTGAATGGACAAACAAGCTTATGAAACAAAGCAAATCAATCTACCTCAGGGAAATCTCTTAGTACTTCAGACATCTCATTTCCTCTTTCTCCACATCCTACATAGATAATAACATCAGAATTGGAAAACTTGGAGAGGGACTGGGAGATAACAGTTTTACCACAACCAAAGGCTCCTGGGATAGCTGTAGTTCCCCCTTGAACACACCTGGAAAATGTTAAAATTTCAAGATTTAAATCATACATCACTTTCAGTTAGTAAAATCAAAACTAAGTGGCTATTTTCATCATTCACATACTGGAACAAAAGTAATGAGATTTGAGAAAAAGAAACCAATAAATACAACAGGCAAGAGGCTGCCTTAAGTTCCCTTTAGGGTACTGAACTACACTGATACAAAAACTTTGTCCAGTATTTCAGTAAAATTTAAAAGAAGAGCATTAGAAATTGAGGCACTGAGGTTAAAAAGCACCTCAATACCAATTAGTTATCCAAGCTAACAATTCCATATGAAGGCCCTTGTTATAAACACATTTTAGTGCAAGCATTTCTTTCTTTGCTGGAAAGTGAGGCCTTCAGAAACACAACCCCGCAAATGGTCTGTGACCAAACCTCTCCCTGACTTGTCTTAATCTTCCAGAGGGCAGAAAAAGTGCCTCTTTTGGCACTAGAATGAAGGCCTGCTAGCAGGCTAAAAATTCCATTCATGCTTGATTGTTATTGTTCAAACTAAAGTCTCCCCACTTCATGTATCCAAGTCCTCATATAACCAGTGATCAATTCTTTAACAAGTAAACAGATACATCTACATCGTACTTACGGAAAAAGAGCATCAAGAACTCTTTGCCCTGTTAACAGAGGGTAATTGGCTGCCAGCTTCTCTGAAACAGGTCTCATTTGTCTCACAGGCCAAATCTGAAAAAAAGTTCTGAAACTTTGAACTCTTTGAATTGCTTAAGGTTCTTGTGAATTGACATCACCAACCTTTACCAAAATCAAGGATCTAGCTAGATTTCATTTCTTTACTGTCACTCAGAAAGGTGTCACAAGCAGTTACATTATTTCTTACAGTACACACATCATGTGGAATTAAAGATCTGTGACAGATTTGTCCTGCAGCATCCTACTACAAGCTGGGGAGGGCCAATTTGCCTCTCTTTTAATAATCCTGAGCATAAGCAAGTTAGTTTTCCTAAACGATTACACATAGGTTATGTTACATCCTGGTCAGTAACAAACCCACCTGCAACATAGTATGCTGGGTCTTCTCTCCATCAAATTCTGTCTCCATCACAACATCCTTTGGTTAAAAGAAAAAACCTTGAGGTTATGTTTATTTTCTAACGTTGGTACCGAAGATCTTCTCTGAAAATTAATATCTTCTCTCTCTCTGCATGACTGCAGTTACTAATGAAAAGTTAATGCAATGCATCTTTCAGTTCTCAAAGGTTACCTTACATTTGTCAGTTCTTTGTACTTACTGTAATATTGTAGTTTCCTGGAGGTGCAATATATGTGACTGTTCCCCTTGCCTTGGGGTGGAGAATAAGCCGATGGTTTAGTAAAGTATTTTCATGTACAATACCAAACAAATCCCCTCCTGTGATGTGGTCTCCAATCTATGAATAACAAAAAAGTAAACGGTAATTCTTTGCAGATCGCAGTCCTCCTTCATTAAAAAGTTGTGATCAGATTCCCCTATGGGAAAGACTAACCCTCTAAAATTTGCATTGCTCCCAGTGTGTGGCTTCATAGCTCGGTTGTAGTGCCCAACTACATGTAGTATCTAGGAGGCATGGGTCTGAGTCCTGATGAAGCCTATATTGTATTGTTTTCAGGCTTGTTTTCTGCAATTACTTTAATTGCAGTCCACATGCAATGATCATTTCTTTGCTTGCAACAGATGAATGGATAGGAGTGACAGGCAATAGGACATACATAAAAAGATTCAAATTTCACCAAAGGTTACAGTCAACAAAATCTGGTCATAATGTTCAAATTCTGTTTTTTCTCTCCAAAGGTAGAGAAAGCATTAACGCTTATTTTGCTAAAAATAAAATTATAAAATCTTAAAAAGAAGATGAGATACAGCTGAAAGAGTCTTTTTGAAGCCAAAAACTCATGGTTTGATTTTATACTAGTTCACTCTACTTAAACAAATTATTAGACTGTGAAGATTTGTCGGATCTGATGAAACTTGACCGGAATATGCATCAGATATCAATGCACCCTTAATGTCATTGCTGTTGCCATTATCATCAGCAACCACAACATCAACAACAAAAAGATTACCTTGAATCCTTCTGGTTTGTAATCCCAGGAAACACTACGATTAAGAGCATCTGTATTGACACCACGAGGAATGTAAATGCTCTCTGTCATTTCATTAATGTCCTGAGATAAAACAGGAGGCCTTGTGGTGAGATATGCCTAACACAACTACATTGTATTCTAATTTTTCCTCAGAATATGATATGATCATAAACAGCTGTTAAAGTGGAAGCCCTTCAAAATGGCTAAGCTCAGGGGCAGAAGCAAATTCAACAATGTTGCAGTGACAATTGACCATGTGCTGATAAAACCAAATTTTAAGGTGTGGAGCTGTTCACATGTACGATGTAAAACTGAAAAGAAAAGGCTTGGCTAATAATAAGGAAATATGGCTAATTAAGAGACATGGAGCTACACATGGTGGTTTCAAGAATTAATTTTTTCATTCCTCAAGTGTTGATTGGTACCTTTCTCTTCAAGCTGTGCACTACACATTTCCAAGAGACTTCTATTTGGTATTACATTAAGATTATACCATCTTTATGATAAGTTTACCCAATCTCATTACCTGTTTACTGGATAATGTAATGATATTGTTAGAACAACTTTAATATGAATCACTTCTGATAGTTATAGAGTCAACTCATACCTTGAGTGGTCTCTGAATTCCATCAAAGATACTTCCAAGAATACCTGGTCATAATTTAAAAAAGAGAAAAATTTAAAGCAAGATCTCTTTTAACTCTTTCAACCCCGAGATCTCGCTAGTAGTTCTCCTTACTGTCTGCTATACAGTTCTTATGATGTCAGTATGGAGAATTTGGTATTGGATCAGACAATAGTTCCCTAACTGATATTTTCCCTTATTCTCATCACTTGTCTGCTTGATAATGTATTGATATTGTGAGGAGAAAGTATGTCTTGGTCACTGTCTTGGTATCTAGAAGAACAAATCTTACCTGGACCCAGTTCAACTGAGAGAGGCTTTCCAGTTCTAAGCACAGGATCACCAACTGTCACACCAGCTGTTAGAATTGTTAAGGTACAACTTGGTTTGCTCTGTAAAACACTGTAGATACTTGATAACACATAGACAGAGAGGCAACACAAAGCCTCAACTCAAATCACAATGATACCATTCATTGCACAGCAATCACAATTTATAGATGATTTATGGACAAATTATGCCAAGTCTTTTACCATCTCTAAGCTTCCAGCTAACAAATCACAAAAAAAGGACTCTTGCCTAAGGCAAAGCTTCAAAATAATACCCTAGACAAATAAATCAACCAGAAATTAGCAAACAGAATAAGACATATACAAGTAACTTGGATACAGGTTTCCTCATAAACTTGAATTGTAGCCATGTCACCCTCAAGACGGATTATCTCTCCCACTAGTTCACTGTGTCCCACACGAACCTTAATGAGAAAAAAAAACATTAAGAAATCATATACTTTATTACTAATGATTTAGGATTTGAGCCAATCTGTCTCTAACATGCTGAGATCTCAGAATTTCTGTTAATTCCTTGAAAATCAACCTAGTTCTTGTACTCTCCCTAGACAATCTCACTCCTGGCATCCTAACAGTAGATACAGTATCATTACCCTGTCCAAGAAAATAACCTGGTAATTGAAATACATGTAAAAGACACACTGACTTATCTAGGAAGGGGATGGGGGGTAAATATGCTATTGACCCTTTGACCCATAAGAGTCGCTAGCAACTAATTTCTTCTTACAATATCATCCCTGAATCACACACTAACCTCATGAGAATAATGGAAATGATCAACAACTACAGAAGTTCTGGATTGTTAAGCTAATTCTCATTGGGGAATATGGGGAATATGCATACTCAGTTAGGGTGTAAAGGGTTAATTTGTCTAATTTCATCATAAGGAATAATCATATTGTTTGATTTTCAAAGATCATTCAAGTATGACACCAAGTAAGAGGGGCAGTGTTGCAATTTCAAGGAATGGCCTCAGTTTCATGCTTATATCTCAATGCATATAAGGGGCTCTCAAGCGTCACAGCTCAATGTGATGCAATAAAGAGTGTTGCTTTTGCTCTTACTGGATGGTATATAATTCCATTGAATATTAAGCCCGTTTCTTATTTATTTATTCCCCAGGAAATCCACAGAAGCTATGGCGAAGTTTGTGGTACACCCACAAGCTATTAGACCAAGCCTGTATAATAAGATGGAAAAGCTGAAGGTTCTTCCAGAAAAAGCCAACAGTTCATAAAATTTTTTTTCCCAGGAAACGTCTACATCAAAAAAAGAATTTCAAATATGACGACGAGGAGGTGTGCATAAATTGATCTTTTTCAAATGGATATGTTGTTTATTCTTGATCGGATCACCAGAGTTATATCAATACTTAATTTGGTGTTCGATTTTGTGAGTTGGTTACATGCCAGAGAGTGTTTTATACTTACGTACCAGTTCGTACATGGCAGCTCCGCTCATGTTTTCCGCCGTGACCACTACAAAAAAAATGACAGATTAATTAAGGCGAACAGAACATAACAATATACAGTAAGGAAAGGTTGAGGAATTGCGCTGCATATTTAATAAGCTGGCGAGGTTTGAGAATTTGATGGCGTCCTCACTCACCGGGTCCGGACACAGCGAATACATATCCAAACTTGCTCTCTTTCTCCTGATCTTTGATTTTGGGAAGCTTTTTCGCGAGATCCATTCCCCCGGCCTGGATAAAATTAGAGAAGAGATCCTCACAATTTAATTTAAATTACCCTCCGTCAATTAGAAACTAAAAACAAGAGGAAGTTGCAGGTTCACCCACCATCTTGGAAGTGATATAATAGTCACGTGGGTTTCTCGGGGCCAGTAGAGCTTACTCGTGCCCGGTACTTTTCGCATTCTATTAAGCAGAAAAATATGGCGGACTTCGTAATGGTTTATTTTCATCTTGTAGCTGCTTTTATAATTGATATTATTGCTCTTCAGCACAAAATTTTTGCCCAAGGAAGTATCGAGGCTACGCAAGCTATTCAAGTTACAGTTTCAAGTACACAATCAGTTGCAATTTTAATGTCAGTTTCGCCTACACAAACAGCAACTGAGAACGGTTCATCACAAATTGAGTGTCCTGATGGACATTATTGTCGTGATCTCGGTGCTTCTTGCATTAATTGTACTATGAACTATTCGTGTACATATGGGAAAGACACAGAAGCACAATGTGTGGTGTACAGCTCGATCAAATGCAGGGTACGTATTAGCTAGGTATGCTTGTACACATGTGAAAGTACAACTTCCTTTCTTAATGAGAACATATTTTTATAAGTAGCAATAAGATATATTTAAGAGTAATAGCTTGATTAAATTCTATTTAATTGTTGAAGTAATCAACTGAATTATACTGAATCAGTCAATCGATCAATGAAGTAATTTATTCTATTGTAGGTAAATAAGTATTAGTCTTTACTTTCATGAGCAAATAAAACCTGAACTGATAAATGAAAAAAGGATATTTATTTTAACAGTACCAGTGTCTCAGGTATTCATAGTGATCTATGAGAGAAAATATGGATCAAATTGTGTTATTAGAATTAAAAAATTGAATGGATTCATTGACAGGGACCTCGAACTTTCAAGAAAATTTACACCTGCAAGTACTGTTATCAACTGCAAACTAATCAATATGAATGTGAAAAACAGTCAGGCTGCAAGGTAAGAACTTCATGTTAACCTTTTAAAAGCAAATCCATAAAGTAAAATGTAGAAGTACATGTCTAGCATACAAGAAGAGCAATACCCTCATCTATACACTGACTAGCAATACTCAGTAATCAAGCCTAGTTTCCTGATGAGTGTTGAATAAGGATGGTCTTAGGCAAAGAAAGTTGACTTTGTCATTATATTTCTAAAACCTAACCATGCATCTTATTTATTAGCATTAAACAGATTGCCTTTGTCCATCAGTTGTAAACAATACAGGGACCTCTGCAATGTAAACCAGTGTAATGTTTCTGTGCATTGTTCTTTCACATGTTTTGTGATTCTTTTTATTTTAAGTTTGAAGAGCTTAAAGAAATGGAATTTTGAATCTTCTTTGTCTGATATAGGTGGTTTCCAGTCCAAGAGAAAGGTACAAAACAAACTGTACTGTAAAGGACAATGTCCTCTGTCTTGGTGAGTTGTTAAAGTAACTTTGAGTTTAAATGAACTGTTCTGTTTCTGCTCTGTTCGAAATGATGAATTCAAAATGATAAATTATAGAATTTTCAAACAGTTGAGCAGACAAACAAATTTATGGATAAAAGTAAAATGACATATGTAAGAGAGCAGTTCAACCAATCATGCAGTAGATAATGTTTACCTTCTGATAATCATATAAGATATGGAAATCATTAAGGGAGTTATGTAAAAATATTTGCACAGATATATCACGAGGCAAAAGCAAATCTATTTTGCAAACAATAGTACAATATTTAAGGCTAGATTTTCCTGAGTAGACTGCAGTTTCAATCAAAGGAGGTTACATTCAAAGCTGAAATAAACATTCAGGCCAGTGAAAATTTTAACCATAAATGAATTTGAACAAAGTTTTGTCTCTTAATCTATACACTCAAAACTAGTGTAAATAATTTAAAACAAAGGAAAAATTAGAAGCATGGCTTATGCATTCACGAAAGAAAGAGTATAGACCAAGATTGTACAGTCAACAGAATTACTTTTAATATCTTTTTTTTCTTTCATCTTGACTAGGTAATCGTACATTCTCAAAATCACTGTTGTGTAACTGGACATCAGGATACAGGTGGTCAACTGCTGTATTATTAAGGTTAGAGACTAGTGATTATCCTTTTGAGAGAATCAGGGCTAAGAATTGCTGCTATTGTGAAGAAAAGAAAAATAAGACTTATGTCAGAGAAGGTTTACAATAAGGTTTCAGAGAGACCTTGGAGTGATATGCCTTGTCTGTAGTCATGGAAAATGGAATGAAAGGGTAAAGTATGGACAGCATAAATTAATCATCCCTGTTTCAGTTTTTGGAACTGATTTGTGAGAGGCCACATACTCTAACCATGGGTCTTTGTATGGTAAGGAGGGCATTGATTTCACCAACATTTAATTGTATTGAGTTATTGTAAAATTAATTTGACTTTCAAATTTGTCATATTTGCATTTGCAGCTTGACTCTAGGGGGCTTTGGTGTGGATCGCTTTTATTTGGGACATTGGAGAGAGGGTCTTGGAAAGCTGTTTAGCTTTGGGGGCCTTGGAGTATGGACCCTTGTGGACCTTATACTCATCATTATAGGATATGTTGGACCAGAGGATGGTTCACTCTACATATTTTAGTCTTGGAAGGAAAGCATTTCTGCAAGGAATGAAAAAGCTGTTCAGTCTTGAAGCCCTTGGAGTGTAGACATTTGTGGACCTTATGGATGGGTAGGACCAGAGGATGTTTCTCACTTAACATTCTTGACTGATATGGGACACACTGCTTGGGTAGTGCAAAGGCTTTGAAATGTGGGCATGATTGGGCCTTCTGAGATTTGGTGCCATCTTAATAGTCTGGAACATACAAGTCCATTACATCCCCCATGGATGGTTAGTGTCTAAAGTAAATTAAGGCAGCTCTGCAAGTGGAAAGGGATCCATAAATGTGGTACCTTATTTTGCATTATGAGAACTTGCTGCAGTAACGTCTCAGGACAAAATTGCATGTTGAGCATAGGTACCATCTCTTTACTTGTGTTACATTAAACTCTACTCAGAAAACTAGAACTACTGGCCTCAGAATTGCTGTTGTATTTTTATTATGTGCTCTCATGCCACTATACAGCCATTTCATGGAAGACTTAGATGACTTGTACTACTGCCATGCTTGGTCATTTAAGAGAGCATTTTTGTCAAAGCTTAGTGTGAAATGTTAGGCATCACTTTATTTGCTTTGATTTGCCATGAGAAAGAATCATATTGCCCTTTCTAAGCTGAAAAAGGTGTGGCAGAAAATGAAGACAATAGTTAATGCTTATACACTCTTTTTGTTGCCCAATAACTGTTTTTGAAAGTGCAATGAGTAGCTCCGTCTCTAAAGCTTAGATTTATTTGGTACCACAGACATTAAACGGTTTAGTTTTAGGTGGCAAATATACATTGAATATTGTTGTAAAGGGAGGAGGATAATTGTTGTAACCTGCTCTATAACGAACAGGCCAGAATTTTGAGTTATGTGTCAACCTACATGTAATTATGGAATTGCATTGACCGCCAATTTCAGAGAAGGACTTCTGACAAGACTCGTTTGCTTCAATCAGATTTTGACTCCTCCAAATGAAAATTAAATGTGGATCCCAGCAGCCAAACAAAGATTAAAAGAGATCTGACAGCAACACTCTGGGAAAAATAATTACCATGGTGAATCAGACTTCCAAAGTACCCTAAAAGGCACTACACTGAAGTTATATTATAACGATATTTTGAACCAAATTTCGTGAATCCATCAGGGCCCCCCTGGACTGTCCTCGGAAAGAGCTGTCTTAATATCTAAAGTCGTTTGGAACATCGGGAAAAATTGCCCGTAAATAAAATGGAATTTGAAATAATCGCCTGCTTCGGTAGAAAACTCAAAGAGGTAAGAGTAAACGAAGAAGAACGAGGATAGTTAGGATTTTATCTTCGATAACGAACAATAAACTTAAGAAAACTTCAGCTCTGTCTGCCTATTTTAAATTTCCTCTAAGGCACATGTTTGATACTCAAAATTTTGCATAGGTGCAACCAGATTAAAGTGTAGAATACCAGAATATGTATTACGTTTTTTCCAGCACGAGGTTTCTTTTTAAGATATGGTACTGCTCTATAAGATGATCAAGTTGGCATTTGAAGCTTCAGTACTGCTATCACGTACTACCGAGGGCAAAGAGCGGATGGTGTGGATAGAAAAATAGGTTTCCTTGTCTCGATCATACCTCAAATTGCAATCCTTTGAATTTTCCTAACTAGGAGAATTTGTTCTCCACATGCATTGCTTTCGCTGAGCCGAGATTCGTTTATTTCGTCGAGGACGCGAAGCCGATGTACTGAACCAGCAGGCCGGTTTATTGGCTTCCATTTATTGCGTTATTTTCTTGGGTAAAACACTTTACTTTCCCATTACAATTCTCCGCTTAATAGTATTAATAGTTACCATCAAACTTTTCGCGGTGCTTTTCTTGGGTAAAACATTTTACTTTCTCAATACAATTCTCCGCCTAAGAGTATTAATAGTTACCAAAAAACTTTTAGGGATACTTGACGAAATGTTAGAGGAAGTAGCATTTGCAAAACTTCCAGTCGCTTCATGCTATTGAAACCGAGAAAAGCTGAAGCAGTGTGAAGGCGCCAGAAGGTACAGTGCCTAAATTCACTTCATTTTTTTCTGGATTTTCCCTGTTAGCAAGTGCTATCATATTTTCATGTTACCTGACCCAGGCAATCCGGCAAACCCAATAATTTAACTCCACTAGAGAGTGGAAGGATCTACAGATTCTTTCCTTAAAGACTCTCCCATTTAAGTAGAGTAAGGCTGCTATCATGAAGTGAATCATGCCCATCTTGCCACTCTTCACGTGTCGACAGCAACCACGACCAAACAGTCTTTAGATGCTGTGCATTCAGTTAAAGGAAATGTTATTCACGATTTCTGAACAATTCGCCTTGTTCAAAGAAATTTGTAAAATGCAAAGTATTTGGTATTTCTTACTTTCATAATTAAAAGTTAGCGCGCTATATCAACCATGGTATAACCAACGTGCAGAAACTCGTGGAGACATCAAGAAGTTTTTATTACTGACGATCAAGAATTTTAAACAGAAGTGTTGCAAACACTACCAGTATTTAGCAAATATTAACCCTCATTATCTTTATTATTTTCCCGTCTTCTGATCTCTTGCAGTCCTTCGCAACTCTAATTTTTAATCTCACATTGGAGGGGTACAAACCCAGGAGAAAACAAGCTATTTCGGTGATCATGTTTCGTTTGGATAATAACAGACAGCAAGGGTCTTGAGCTGTTACGTGACGCAAGCATTACAAAGTACATCTTACATGTTGTACCAAAACTGTTGTAATGGTGTCTGAATGATATACGAACAAAATAGAAATGCTTTAAAGAAAAAGTTTACAAAGATTTCAAACCCTGGACTGATGATAGTGAGAGGCTGCACATATCTTCAGTGCTCTTTCATGAGCAAACAAAGAAACAATTAAATGGCGCAATGGCGACAGAATACACAAAACAAAGCTAAGAAATATTTTTGTTTTTTCCAAAGCTGAAATCTAAGCAAAGAACACCTAAAATACTGTGATCTAGAATTTCTTTGCATTCTTGATTACTGATTAACTTTTTACAAAACGTGTTAAACTCTATTTAGGATTGGTTTATTACTTTCATTCGACTTTATGAAAAAAAAAAAAAGCGATACGCTAGACTGTACAATTTCTCTTTCTAAAACGTTCTGTGATAAAAGTTATGTTATCTTTTAACAAGGAATAAGTTAAAGCTGATGAAGTGATCGCGCGACTTGTACAAAGTGGTCCCTTGCGTTCTTGTTCTTGATCTTGTTATCACCTGTAGAATGACCAAACTTTAAGTCAGATTCGGTTTAATCCGCACCTCCCGGCTTGAGCATTAACTTTCCAATAAGCTCCCCCACCCACTCCACCCTCAAAAAAAAAAAACTCTCGGACTGATGTCCGTTGATGCGGTGACTGACGCTTTGACAACCTGGACGGAAGTCATCATCAGAGTCAATTCTGGTTTGCAAAGACTGATTCATTGGTTTTGTAGCAACGTTACTGGGCATTGTGTATGTGACTAAAGGAGATGTGTTCAATTGAGATTGGTCGTTTTCGACCCGTCGGTAAAGTTTCGTCGTTCAGTTCGGCCCGTTGGTCATGTTCCTGTCATTATGTGCTGGGTCACTGCTACTGCAGGGGACACATCAGTTTACCAAATGAAATAAATTCCCTCAAAACCTTCCTAAAAATCTGGTAGCTTAGTTTAAAGATAGGGACACCACGCTAAATTTTCCAAGAACAATCCCCTTGCCAATGACAATAATGTGCTAGTGCAAATGCAGCTTAAACCCAGCGGAAGAAGTATAGACTGTACGGGTACATTTTCAGGTCCAATCAACCTTGATAATTCTGTCAGATGGCAAAATTCCAAACCTACAACTGACCTTTTAGACCGTTTTACATTCTCTACAATCTTTTCTACAAAGTTGTCACTAAAGCCTGGACAGGTCGTCTCTATTGATTTAAATGCATCCATAAGATGCTCTACAGATCGTCCCTGGCCACCTTGACTTTTATTTAGCTGCAGAAAGAAAATAACACGAACACTGTCACTAAGATTTCTTTACTCTCATAATGAATAACATAGGGTTATTGCATGTAATTCCATATTTAAACTCGAGCCGTGTTTAAGACAAGACCGAAGTTTTAATTTTGGGAATTTACATATAAGCAGTAAATCACAGGCTTTTAAATGCAATTAGAAAAAATAACCACTAAGACAAAAACAAAATTCCACGAGCCCGTAGGGTGAGTGCAATCCGTAGTCTTAAACAAAATTAAGAGTTCTCATTTGTTCCAAATTGCACAAGAAAAATCAAGTAATCGCTTGTTATTTTTGTTATGTTGAGATAGCTTTTCATAAGTATGCAGAAGCAAAGCACGCCAGTAACACACAAAAATAATTTTCATTAGCTGCAAGAAAAGTTCAAAGCCCTACTAACCAGTTTGTTACCTTCTCTTCAACCGAAATACCTCCCTTGTACATTGTGCTATCTGAGAACGGCAATTCACTCAGCCAATGAGAATGAATAGTTTTTCCCCAACAAAATTACCAGTATGGAATCAGTTAATTCACACTAAGATCTCTCCTACAGTTTCCCTCTCGATCTAAGGTGTTGGCGAAATAACTTAATTCCTCGAGAGAGACTGATCATCCTGTAGCAATGCTGTAGAGAATGTTACGCAAGACAAGTAAAAAAAAACCGGTTGCATATGCTTACCTTGGTCAGTGTTGGTAACAAAACGGTTGATAAATATTTTGATGGAGGTTTTTCTCCTTTACTTTTGTCTTTTGGTACCTAAAAGTTGAAACACAGAAGCAAGGTTAGTACTTGTACCACAAAAAAGGAGTGCAACTTATTCGGACTCCAACATATTTGGATCAACTTTGACTGTCCTTTCCCTTAAAATAAGTTTCACAGTAGTAACATTATTTTGCCAAAACAAAATGAGTAAAAAAATCACTTTTTTCAGTTGAATTAAAGTTTTGAGGTTGGTAGAGGTTGGGGTGTTTTTTTTTTTGTTATTCAATAGTGCTGTTGTGGACAGTATTTTCTTGCAGGGTTTGTACCCTTTTTCAGAAACAAATTTCCAGGACTTTTCCAGGACTCAGATTGATTTTTCAGAGACTCCAAATTTAACTTTAAATCATTTAATTTCCAAATATTTCAAAATTAGTTCTCCTCATATGCTCTACATACAATTCCTATAATGTAAATTTTGAAAAAAAATTAGTGTTTGAATTAAACATAATTCGAGGACTTTTCAGACCTGTTGTCTTTATCAAGGACTTTCAAGTCCTGCAAAATGTCGAAATAAAATTCCAGGACTATTCAGATTTTCCAGGACCCGTCTGAACCCTGAGTGACATTGTTACCTCATAAAATTGAAATGTCATGAGTATAAATACAGTAGTAAGACACAACAGAGAAGAAGGAGAAAACTTACTTCAGAAGTATTTGTGTTATTCAACTGTGCTGCTGTGGAGTCATTTTCATGACTGAGTGATGATTCACCTTCTCCTCCAACAAAAGGATTTTTCTCAGGAGGGAAAATCCACCTAGAGGTTCCCCCAGAACTATTTCCATCTCTGTAAAAGATGACCACAGTAACAGTAAAAAAAAACTACTACCCCTGACTTGGCCATTTTTTTTTCTCTTTTTTTCTTTTGACCATATTTAAGAGGCACTTTGGTGAAAAGAGGTTGATTATAAATTTCCAACCTAAACAACAATGTGCCATCTACCTGAAATTACTAAATTAAAAATACCACAACACACATATACATTGTATTCTGTTCAATGGCAAAGGTGAAAAGATGACAAATTAAGAAAAATGACTTACTCTTCATTTTCCTCTCCTGAGCTGCTATCGTCATCATCTCGACATTTCTGTTTCCAGTTTTTATACCTTTCTATTAATTCCACTAGGTATGAATTTTTCTTTGCAGTTCGAATCCATCTGTGCTTTAAAAGCTCTTTTGCTGTAGGTCTCTGTGGACAAATAAATGCTTAGGATAAATTGTCTGGTACACAGTGCACATTCTACATGTTTAAAAATGATAAAAGCTTCCAGAAAAAGAGCACACATCTCTGGCCTCCTTGTCACTGTTATTTTTTCTTTCTTTTTTGTTTTGTTAGCTTTGTGATTTTATCTCGCCTTGAAGATGGAATGCTAATCCATTTTTCTTCCTTCATTTTTACTTAAGTGCTAAGTAAGAACAGTATCTCACACTACATAGCATTCTCCCTTCCACAGTGCACTTTGTACTAAATGGACTCTGTAAAACTGTCAAGAGAGTCTATGAAAAATACTGAAAGATAACCTTCAATAATTTTCATAAACATGTTGTATCCCATTGCTTTACGAAGGCAAATGTCTTTACTGATAACTCTATAGGGCCTTGTGAGTGTCAGTAGAGCATGAGAAACAGGCCTGTATAGCAAAACCCTTCTGATTAGGGAAT